ATCTAACCAGACCAGTAATGGTAGCTGAAAAGCAACAAGAATTAGGGCAGCCTCTGCTGAGAGGAGAGAGCCATGCTCCCGGGGGCTTGGGTTGGCCCTTGCTGCCTTTTCAGCACAGACTCCTATTTAACCACATCAAGACCTTGAAGAATCCAGGCCTAAGTGACATGCCCAGGGCAGTGGCAGAGTGGAGGACAGCGCTCAGATATCCCAGACATGGGGAGTGCCATGATATCATCCAAGGGGTGCTGCTTCCTCACATGGCACCAGAGGGTGGTAGCCAGTGGAGCAGGTTGCTCTCCATCCCTGGCAGTCTGAATACTTATCCTCACATAATTTCCCTTCTCCCCATGAATATTCCTGGTGGTCCTTCGAGCTGAGACATCTCCTTCCCAGGGGCTGGTGAAACCCAAGGGCCCTGTGGACAGAAGCAGAGCTGAGGGCTGCCTGGCAAGTGGCTAGCAAGTTGCTGGGCCCTTCAAAGCTGAGAGTCCTGGTCCAAGACCCCTTATCAGGGAATGATGAAGTCTTCACCCTGTCAGTGAGTATATCCCCCCAACCCTCTTCCACACCGTTCCTTCACCCCAGGGCTAATCTGGTCAGAATAAAGGATCAAAAGGAGAAACAATTAGCAAATGGAAGAATTTAATGATGCTAATTAACATGTATTAAGTGTAGCCTCTGCCTCTGCACCAGCTGCTTTGGCAGGCGAGCTGGGGCCTGGGAAGCGCCGGCCCGTCCCTGGTGCACACAGCGAGGAAGCAGGACATCTGGTGCCTTCCTTCCCCGCAGCCACTCACAAAAGGCAGGTTCACAGGAGCCTCTGTTTCGCTTCCCGCCGTTAGCTGGGTTCGCCCCTAATTAGCTCCATCTCTGCAGGAGCCCCCTGGGATCTCATTAGGCATTTCAATTAATGCATAGCCTGAGCAGCAGAGGGAAAGGAGTGTTGTGGGGGTGGTCGGGGTGGGGGGAGGTTAGATCAAGATGGCTGCCACGAGCCAACAGAAAAGAGGTGATAGAAGAAGCTGCGCTCTGAAGGTGGAGAAGATGAGTGAGATCCCAGCTACTTCCAGCGTCAGCTGGGCTGGGACCAGCTCTCTGCCGCCTTCCACCCCTCCACAAGGTCCTCTCCAGAGCAAACGTGGTAACTTTATTGAGCCACGGTCTGGGTTTGACAGTCAACGACCCCAAGGCCCTGGGGATATCACCCCAAGCCAAGCCGACCTGCTCTCCAACCACTAATGCTAAGGGCTTCTTATGGGGGCCACGGGCAGAGACAGGGAAGAGCTTGTGCACACGTTTCATAGTTTCTAGGGTCGGAAGGGATCTCAGCAGATCATCTAGTCCAACCCCCTGCCATGGCAGGAAAGAGTATTGGGGTCAAACGACCCCAGCAAGATGTTCATCTAACCTCCTCTTAAAAACCCCCAGGGTAGGAGCCTGCACCAC